TAAGTGGCGCTGTGGCTCAAGTGGTAGAGTGCTAGCCTTGAGCTGAAGAGCTGAGGGACAGCGCCCAGGCCCAGAGTTCAGGCCCCACAACTGGATCCCCCCCAAAAAAAAAGAAAGAAAAAGAGATTGTGAGATAAGCACTGGTGGCTCGCACCAATAATCCTTCATACTGAGGAGGCTGAGATTTGAGGATCACAGTTTGAGGCCAGCCTCAACAAACAAATCCCAGAGTCTTAATTAACCTATAAAAAGCTGGAAGTGAAACTGTCAAACAATAGAACGCCAGCCTTGAGAAAATAAAACTAAGGGGGAGCGTGAGGCCTTGAATTCAAGCTCTTGCACTAGCACAAAAACAAGGATAAAAAAAACTGTGTTGAAGGAAAAATTAGTTTCAGTGGTTTTGCCATTGCATCTTCATTGCCCTAAGTTACCATCACAATGATTGGTAAGTTCTTAGTTAAGATGGGAAAGGCAAGCCAGAGTTCCAGTGGCTCATGCCTATAATTCTAACTACTCAGGATGGTGAGATTTTAGGATTGTTGTGTGAGGCCATCCTGAGCAGGAAAGTCCAAGAGACTTTTGGTTGGTCGTGGGGCTTGATTTCTGGGCCTGGACACTGGACACTGTCCCTCAGCTCTTCAGCTCAAGGCTAGTTCTCTACCACTTGAGCCACAGCACCACTTCTGGTTTCCTGGTGGTGGAGATATGAGTCTCACAGCCTTTCCTGCCTGGGCTGGCTTTGAACTATGGTCCTCAGATCTCAACCTCCTGAGTAGCTAGGATTTTAGGTGTGAGCCACCAACGCCCGGCTCCATGAGACTTTTATCTCTAGTTAGCCAACAAAAAGCTAGAAGTGGAGCTGTGGCTCAAGTGGTACATTGCCAGCCTTAAGTAAGAAACCAAAGAGACTGTATGTACCCAGGTTGTGAACTCAGCCTAGTACAATATTTTAAAAAGGCTTAAGTTTGTTTGTGTTTGTGTGTGTAGGAAAGTAGCATAGGCTATAGAGTTTGGCATTTCAACTATTAACTGGAGGTCTTGAACATATTCCAACAAATAAGGAAGAACTATTGTAATAATAGCTTATGAAGTTATTGCAAGGTTAGTGGGCATGCAGTGGGTTTTGAACAGTGCCTGATAACTTAATTGATAAGTAATATTACTTTGCTACTTGAGATGTAGATAGTTTACAATATACTCAAACATTTTGTACTGACTTCCCTACAATCAACTGGAGAGATGGTACTGCCTCTCTTTTCCTAAAGCGGCTGTTTATTTTTTGTGCTGACTATGGGACTTGGAGTCAAGGCCTGGGTACTATACTTAGCCTTTATTTTTTATTTTTATTTTTTGTCAGTCATGGGGCTTGAACTCTAGGCCTGGGCGCTGTCCCTCAGCTCCTCAGCTCAATGCTAGTACTCTACCACTTGAGCCACAGTGCCACTTCTGGCCTTTTCTGTTTATGTAGTGCTGAGGAATTGAACCCAGTGCTTCATGCATGCAAGGCAACCATTCTACTGTTGAGCCACCTTCCCAGCCCCTGTCCTTAGCTTTTTTGTTCAAGGCTGGCAACTCTATCCCTTGAGCCACAACTGCACTTCCATATTTTTGGTAGTTAATAGGAGGTAAGAGTCCCTTGGATCCATCCTGTCTTGGATGGCTTTGAGCCTCACATCTCAGCCTCTTTAGTAGCTAGGATTACAAGCATAAACTATCAAAACCAAGGCTGTTTGGTTCTTTTTTTTTTTTTTGCCAGTCATGGGGCCTGAACTCTGGGCCTGGGCACTGTCCCTCAGCTCTTCAGCTCAAGGCTAGTGCTCTACCATTTGAGCCACAGCGCCACTTCTGGCTTTTTCTGCTTATGTGGTGCTGAGGGCCTCAGGTGTACAAGGCAAGCACTCTACCACTGAGCCACCTTCCCAGCCCTGTTTGGTTCTTTTTAAGAGTGTTTTTTTTAAGCTACATATAATCACGTGCATGTATGTGTACGTGTGTGTGTGTGTGTGTGTGTGTGTGTGTGAGAGAGAGAGAGAGAGAGAGAGAGAGAGAGAGAGAGAGTTGGGTCTTGAACTCAGGGCCTGGGCACTGTCCCTGAGTTTTTGTGCTTAAGACTAGTGCTCTACCAGTTAAGCCACAGCTCCATTTCTGGCTTTTTGCTAGTTAAATGGAGATAAGAGTCTTTTGGACATTCCTACCTGGGCTGGCTTTGAACCACTGTCCTCAGATCTCAGCCTCCTGAGTAACTAGGAATATAGGTGTGAGCCACCAGTGCCTGGTTAGCTTCATGTAATCTTAAATTTCACCAAATTTTACATTGGGTTACTAAGCTTTCTGATTTCTGACAAAGCCAATCAGTTTCTGTGACCTGATACATTCTTTTTTTCTTTCCTAGGTCTTTCAGAGCCTTGAAGACCACCATTTGGAAGTGGTGGCTTTTTTTCGGGACAATGGCTTTCATGGCCTTCTTGCTCATGACTCCGAGTATGCTCTCTACAATATTCCCTTTTACTACAGTTCTCATGCTCTGAAGCTGAGCTGGAATGGAAAGAACCTCACTACCAACCAGTTCCTGATGCAAGAGGTAGCCAAGCAGCTGGGTCTGAAGCGGATGAATTTCCCCATTTTTGCAGCACTACTAGGTAGGTAGTTTTCCCCTGTATTGTTTTTTTTTGAGTCCAGTCGTGGGGCCTGAACTCTGGGCCTGGGTGCTGTCCCTCAGCTCTTCAGCTCAAGGCTAGCGCTCTACCACTTGAGCCACAGCGCCACTTGCAGCTTTTTTCTTTTTGCTTATGTGGTGCTGAGGAATCGAACCCAGGGCCTCATGCATACAAGGCAAGCGCTCTACCACTGAGCCACCTTCCCAGCCCACTACCACTTTTTTTTGTTCTACCACTTTAAACCACAGTTCCACTTCAGTTTTTGAGTGGTTAATTGGAGATAAGAGTCCCATAGGGACTTTTTTGCCCAAGCTGGCTTCAAATCATGATCCTTAGATCTCAGCCTCCAGGGTAGCTAGGATTATAGGCGTGAGTCATTGTTGCTAGGCTAGAGGTGTTTTAAGAAAACATTTGTACCAGGAAATGGAAACAAGAGGTTTTTTATTTTTGCTTTTGTTTTTGTTTTCTTCTTGTCTTATTTGTTTCTCTGTCTTTGGGAGAGTAAAGAAAGGCACAGAAATGGAGGGACAAAGGTGAACAAATGTAGCAGTGGTACTCACTAGACACCATGTTGAAAATGAACTATACGGCTTGTGGGTGAGTTGGGAGGGAAAAACTGGGAGAGAATCGAACATTGTCCAAAAAGAAATGTTACCAGCTGGGCGTTGATGGCTTATACTTGTAATCCTAGCTACTCAATAGGCTGAGATCTATGGATCTTGGTTTGAAGCCAGCCGGAGAAGGAAAGGCTGTGAGCCTCTTATCTCAAATGAACCACGAGAAAACTGGAAGTGACACTGTGGCTTAAAGTGGTAAGAGTGCTAGCCTTGAGCAAAAAAGCTCAGGGACAGTGCCCAGGCCCTGAGTTCAGGCCCCACAACCAACCAACCAACTAATAAATAAATAGTCACAATTTTTAAAAAAAGAAGAAATGTACTCTACCTGACTTATGTAACTGTGACCCCTTTGTACATCACCTTTATAATAACAGTAAAAATTTCTTAAAGAAAATATTTGTGTATTTAATGAATGACAAATGTACTTTATAGGTAACCACATTCTCCCAGATGAGGACTTGGCTGCCTTTCACTGGAGCTTGTTGGGACCAGAACATCCTCTTGCATCACTGAAGGTAATGTGTACCATTTTCTACTTGTACAGATTAGGAGATAACAGGATTTTTGCTTTTGTTTTTGGCCAATCCTGGGCTTGAAATAAGGGCTTGGTACTGTCCCTGAGCTTTCTGGGTCAAGGTTAGTGCTCTCAAAACATGCTTCTAGCTTTTTGGTTGTTAACTGGGAACGAGAATCTCAATCTTTCTTGTGTGAGGTGGCTTTGAACCCTGATCCTCACATCTCAACATTCTGAATAGCTAGCATTATAAGGTTGAGCCACTATATGTGGTGACAATAGTTTTGAATGGAGTTTGGTGGAGTAATTATCTTTCATTCCATTTAAAATATTTAGCATATGACTCCAGGAAATAGAAACAAGGCTTTTTTTTTTCTTTTTTGCTGTTTTTTTTCTTTTCTTTTTGTTCTGTTTGTTCATCTTTGGGAGGAGAGTAAGGGGAGTCACAGAGATGGAGGGACAGGGGCTGGGAAAGTGGCTCAGTGGTAGAATGCTTGCCTTGCATGCCTGAGGCCCTGGGTTCGATTCCTCAGCACCACATAAGCAAAAAGAAAAAAGCCGGAAGTAGCACTGTGGTTCAAGTGGTAGAGCGCTAGCCTTGAGCTGAAGAGCTGAGGGGTAGCGCCAAGGCCCAGAGTTCAGGCCCCATGACTGGACCCCCCAAAAAAAAAGAGATGGAGGGACAAAGGGTGAACAAATGCAGCAGTGGTACTTACTGGACACTGTGTTGAAGTGAACTCTATAAATTGTGGGTGGGGATGGGTGGGAGTGCAAGGAAGGGGTGACATTGTCCAAAAAGAAATGTATTGACTTGTGCAAGCATAACCACTCTATGCATCACTTTTATAATAAACATTTAAAAATTTTTTTTGGCTTCTGTATTCTTTTTTTTATTTTTATTTTATTTTTTGTGAACATACTGTACAGAGGGGTTACAATTACATGGGCAGGATAATGTGTACATTT